GAAAACTATGTATTTGTTCTTCAATTCGATTTTTTTAGATTTTCTTTTGAAATTCAAATGGAAACGAGACCACTTTCTTATATAAATACGTCTTCATATCAGATTTGACACCTCAACTTCCAAAATAACATGATTTATCTAGTAAGTGGTTCTTGGAAGGCCTCCAACCTATGGCTGACATAACACGCGGACGCCTTCCGCCAGGGTTCGTGACACCGAACCATCTGTTAGTCGCTCGTGTTTTGGGTCGACTTCATAAATAGTGCTACGGGAACGTTTCGAATAAAATATGGGAACCGAGAAACGGGACGTATTTGTCGAACCACTCAGTCAGCAATCCCGTACGGAGTGTCTAAAAATGGTTTACTCGTCCTGTGGGATTGGCGCATTGTAATAACCAGTTTGTTGCAAGTGAGCTCGGTAAAGTCGCAAGTCAAATTGTCTTTCCTTGTACATATCACACACGATCTCTGAGTACTGATAAATTCAGAGTCTCTCTCCAAGGAAGTATTTAACAACGTGACTCTACTGGTAACACATATTTTGAAGTGTTTTTAATACTCAAATGACACTAGTTAGACATTAAGAATCGTTCATTTACTTCACTGAATAATATTGTAAATTTAGTGATTAGTTAGACGTTTTGAATGCGAGCGCTTTCGTAATCTCATTAACAAGGCATTTATCGCTTATGAGCTGCAATATTGTCACAAGTCAATAAATGAAGTTCGGAAATCTATGCGTTTAATGTTTAAGTGGTGGTTGAATCACAGATTAACACGCTAAGGAACTGATGTATTAAGGGGTAAGCATTACTAAATGTGTTTATCGGCGTTCCATTAATAATAATAATAATAATAATAATAATAATAATAATAATAATAATAATAATAATAATAATTATTATTATTATTATTATTATTATTATTATTATTATTATTATTATTATAAAGTCAGCCCCGTTGCGCAGACGGTTTTGACAGCCGTTGACTGAGCCGAGGAGGCTGGAGACGCGAGTCCTGCATAGAATTGGTCGTATTTTTAATTGTCCTTTGGCATCTTGTCATCCTATCATCTCATAATTCACATTTGATTTATTTAGTGAAAAAAAAACAGTAAAAATTATATGAGAAGATTTACTGCTCCCTTTTTCATGAGTTCGAGAATTCCTTACATTCATTTGAATTATAAATAGTGGAACTCAAGAAAACGTGCGAAGGTAATTTTCTCCCCCATACGTCACACAGAGTTTTACTGTTTTTTTACTAAATTAATCTAAATGTGTCCATGTCTCCCGGATACGACAACATGCCAACCATTGGCGAACCGTTAACGAGCCGCCCGTCTTCCCGCGAGAGAGTCGAAAATGCCAGTGGTAGAAGGTAGGAAGTTTTGCTGGGAGGGGAAAAGACTGACGTTGCGGCTCGTAGATTGAATGCCGGGGCGCCTAGTGCTGTAAAATCATTTTTTACTTATTTAAATGGATTATGTCCCATATTTTAAGCTACAAGCACCAAAATCCACCGTTTACGTTGTTCTGCCCACTGTTGAGTTTTCTTAGTCGATGCTCATTGATATTCTTAAGCAATAATTTAAAGCAGTGGCCATTTTTAAAACTTTGTTATTTAATCCTACAAAAGATGACAATTTAATAACTGATTTTTTATCAGGATAATTATATTCTCCAAATGATAGCAAAATGAAGGCAATTTATGAGGGCAATCTCTCACATGAAGATTGGCATAAAAATGGTATGTAGGCAATTGCAAGAAGGGTAATGTTTAGCAGCACATACAGTGGTGACCATTTCCCTCCATTATGAATCTGAAAATATCAACAACCAAACCTCTTTGACGAAATGTTACGTGTAATTTTGTCAATAGCGTGGGTCTTATTAAATAAAATTCAAAGGGCTTAAAATTTTATACCATGTCGTAAATACATAACGTTCGATGATTTGATATTAAAAATATGTAATGAACTCTTGTCAGAAATTAGAGCAGAAAATAATCTTTATTTTATTAAGAATAATATATTTTTGCCGTATGAGAACCATCTTATCCAATTAAACATAGTTGATGAAAAAATAGTCTCTTGCTGTCATCATCAAACAATAATAATTCAGTATCATAGTTTTGTGTTTAGCAAAACACTATATTTGTGATTACATCGTAGAAAAAGAATTACGTTATCAATCCTAATAGCAATTTTAGTATATGGTGTCCAAATATGTATAATTCGTTGTAGTTTCGTATTACACATTGTCATATATCAACAACAAACATTTCCAATATAAAACAAAATCCCAAAATTACTTGAACGTGTCCCTCATTTTTCTCGACGAATGCTCTTACAATTTACGAGGTCTGGTTCGAATTGCTTATTCTAATTGATGGCCCTCACTCCTAGAATTTGTCTCATCCCCAATTCCCCCCTTCAATTTTCTAAGTATTTACACTCAAGTGGCCCGCACGCGGGGGACCCGAGGTCAGAGTGCAAAATGCTGTGCAGGCCTGCGTTAAGGGGTGTCGTCTGCACGTCCGGCGTGAGCGTATTCCCACGTCATAGAGACGTGTGTCAGTGGTGCGGCGGGACACGGGATGTCTCATTGTGGGACGTACTGAGCGCTGAAGGTCCGCAAGCAATGACGATGACTCAGTCCCAGACTGTCGGACAATCCTCCTGTCCTCTCCTCTGCCGGGGATGTCCGTAAAGTTAGCATACCCACTTATCACAATACTGAAAAACTGTATCTTAGAATTTTGTTCCAATTAAAGATTATTTTATACCCAAATTAAATTTTTTTTCTACTAATGTACAACATCGAAATATTCAACACTAAATGTGGGTACGCTAACTTAACGTTAAGTTAGCATACCCACACAAGAAAAATGCATGAAACATAAAAACTAAATGTACCAGAAGTTTGTCTTAATTAAAGACTAATTTATACCCAAATTCGAAAATTTTGAAAATTTGCGCAACATCAAAATATTCAACCCTAAAGAGTGGGTATGCTAACTTAACGTTAAGGTAGCGTACTCACATTTAGTGTTGAATATTTCAATGTTGTGCATTAGTAGAAAATTTTTTAATTTAGGTATAAATTAGTCTTTAATTATAACAAAATTCTGGGATACAGTTTTTCAGTATTGTGATAAGTGGGTATGCTAACTTTACGGACATCTTCCGGGGCCTTCCAGACCCTTCCCGTCGATGATGCGCGCGTTCTTGTTGCCACTGCTTCAGCATCTGCACGATCCAAGTGCTGCGCAATGCGACGAAAAGACCAATCGACTTCTTGAAGTCTCAAGGTGAGGACCGTGTCGAACGCATTTTCCTGTGGATATAGCTTCCGCATCCGCCTCCGGGGCATATTGAACATCTCACGATGCTACCAGAGCAAATCCACAGGCGACAGAGACTGTTCGGCACCAAATAAGCTCTCAAAACTGATCGAATGGGCCGACGCACGAGCGCTCTTTGAGTGCACGGCGCGCGATCAGGCGTGTAAACTGAATCAATGAGTTGTCTTCCGATAAGGAACCGACCAACCAAGTTTGAAACAATTCGGTTGCTTCCTTCTGGGCACAACTTTTTTTTTGTCTTTATTTCCATTTTTATTAGTTATTTCCTATTTTCATGAGAAATTTTATTATCTGCGAATGTTTCCTTGAGCTTTATGGATGGATGAATGTAGTTATTTTGACAGTACCATAAAATATTCGTTCTATATGTTCTAGTTTTATTACTTTATATTTAATTCTAAATCTACCCCATTTTCCCATGTAATAATTTTCAATTATAGGGACATCACTTTGCCAAAAATACTGGTTGCTACCTTTATGCAGAATTCAACTTAGCATACTAACAGTGGGGCGGTAGGTTTTGCGGAGCTCAAAAAAGCGTTCCAAAATAACACTTCTCTCTCGTATGTTTCGAACAGATTTTAACTCTTTTTTTAATTTTTAATAAATAAATGAAGTTATATAATATGATTTTTTATTACAAGTGTTTCCCAAAGTGTATAGTATCCTCATTCAATTTCCTTTGTGGCGAATAAAAGGTAATGTACGAACCATCGTTACCTAATATTTTAGTATTATCTTTTAGACAAGAAATGTTTGATTACTAATATTTCTTTTTGTTGCCTTGAGCTTTTCAATATTCATGCAAAACAAAATGGTAAAAAACTGGAAGTGGATCATTGTCAAGTAGTTTCTGAAAACTACATCTAATTAGTACAAAAGAAGTATCGCAAAAATTAATTTCAAGGGCGAGCTATTTGTCTTCTCACAGTGGTCTTGAAGTTTATAAACTTGTGTATCTGACTACAGATCGCGTCACTTCCTGCTCACATGCCAGTAGCCTAGCCTGGAAATGTCTCAATAGAGGGTTTACACTAGCAATACGGACAAATAAAACCTTGAACAGGAATCACGATATCTAATCTGCAATCCACCTTCTCTTTCGCAGTTGCCCTTCATTCAGATTTCGAACACCCTTCAAGTCTCGAACATCGTTATACGTCGAGGTCTCTAACGAACGAAGATGCTATCTGGCAACATCACTATCGGGCCTGCATCTCACGGACCGACTAGACAGACTTGTTTGCAGGCACACCGCGGGTGAACGTTCAACAATGAAACGATAATGTAAACCCTTTTTTTTCTGCGAATTGGTTGCTCACGACATAGCAATTTCTGTCTTCCGTATTTCACTGAGCAATAACCCACTTACGTCAATGGACATATTCTGGAGAATTATAGCATTAGAATGGAAATGTGACATTGTATCAACTGCTTTCTTTCTCCACTTTACAATACAAAGAATTTGAAATATAAACATATTGCACGACCATATACACACAGCTCTTACTTATGACCCCCTTTTTTCGTAAAAGAGAACGCTATTCGCTGTGCAACAACTAATGAAACAGATTTTCACTCGTGCATTTCCAACTTGCAAATCTTCCATTCAGTACATAGGTTGTTCCTTACATGAGCCAAAAAGTTCGAGCAACATTTTTGCACATATCCTCCAGAATTTTTACATTTGATAAGGTTTAATTCCACGCCAATGGGTTGACCGATTTGACCCATTCCGATCTGAGCTTTAAATTCTAGTAATTGATAAAAATAGTCGATATTTGTAATATACATGTTATTAATCTATCTACAAATGTAATTTAAAGAATACATATTTTTGTGTTGACAATCATGTAAAGTCTTAATGATACTCCATGGATATGTATAATTCACCCAAGTCGTTCTTTGAGTGTGTCAACTTTTTCAAGTCGAATAGAAGTGAATTATGATTATTTGCAATTAGGAAGGTACCTTGCCGTTATTCTCGTCTATTCCAAATCATTACTTGACTTTCATTCCAGAATTACCAATTTGCCCCTTCAATGACTCAATTTTACCTCTCATAAGTTGTAATATAATATACTTGGTACTAGTCTATTTGAAGGCAATTTATATTCATTTGTTTAAAAAGTTACGTCTCCAGTGGAAAACATACGTCTTGGCCTTTAATTCGCGCGACATAAATAGTAATGGTACAGATATAAAATTTACTGTTTCAAAATACGATTTACTGATTAATTGATTAGTGATTCCAGGCGCGTCAACTACTAAGAACATTAGCCTCGTAAGTGTAGTGCACGTGTTTTCTTCGAAAGGTGGCCGTGATCTTCCCCTGTTGGATTGTGAAATTCGGCGCCGATCTACACCCTACCATGCTTGGAAAATGAAAATCAACCCGTAGAGATAAGAATAACCTATTTTTCATATTAAGTAGGATCCCCTCCCCACACTAATAATTGGGACGAAGCAGCTGCTCCAGCTAAGTCCATTATTTGTGTTTTCGAACTATTCATAAACAAATTTCAAAGCGAAAGCGTAGAATTCCGCGACGGGAGTCAGTATCCACTTGACAGTCTGGGAGACGCTGCGTCCTAGGCACAAATGGCAACGTTGCAGGTGTCATGCTGTGACCTTCCACAGGAAGACATTTCGCATTTCGCCCTGAGGAAGGTCGCAACATGACTGCGGCAACGTTGATATCTATGCCTAGGACTAGGACGAAGCATCTCTGGTACGGCCTCGTAGAGAAACTCCAAAGTGTTTCACTTCCGTTGACCGCCCCGTCCGTGAGCTGGGCGCGCGGGGCTGAGCTGGGCGCGCGGGGCTGAGCTGGGCGCGCGGGGCTGAGCTGGGCGCACGGGGCTGTGCTGGGCACGCGGGGCTGGGCTGGGCGCGCGGGGCTGGGCTGGGCTGGGCGCGCGGGGCTAGGCGCGCGGGGCTGGGCCGGGACCACGGCCAGGGTGGGCGCCGTGGCCCGCGCGCTTCCGAAGTCTCGCAGACGCCTCGTGAACCCCCGCGGTGAACCGGTCGCGCCGGCCGAACCGGTTGCGAATGGCTCCCGCGCTGTCGTACGCTGCGCTTCTTGCGAACCTCCGGCAGTAGGGACGTCGCGGCGCGGGGCGACAACAATCGAATTCTGGCAGGGCAAGATGAGCGGGGGCGCGTGCGGTGGCCTGCCTCCTAAACCCCAAACCCAACAATAAGATTTTTCCAAGACGGGAAATCCGTAGTAGTGGTACATAATCATTGTCGTCAATAGGACATTACGTATCTCTAAAAAAAGTGTTTTCATGTTGTACAATCAAAAATGTATAGGAACTTGTTGGATCAGAAAACCACTATCAATTTTTGAACGCTTTTATTGTACATATGTTCATCTTCTATCATATTTTGTATGTTAATAAAGATTACAAGATAGTAACATAACACAAGAAATCTGATTGTTCCATGCCATTAAGTAATATTTCTCTAAAGAAAAGTATAACCCGAGTCGAATTTATCGCCGATTCATTTGAAAAGAAAAAAAACCATAGGGTTATTTGTTGAAATAGCTAAAGAATTTAATTGTATGTAGGTCTAATCGACAAATTAATAATACTAGGAACACTGCTTTACCTACAAAATTTAATTACAAATTTCCTATCGGACCGAACCTTTTCAGTTTGGGCCGACAATACGGAATCTTCTCCGTACAAAATTATTGCAGGAGTCCACAAGGGCCTTCGCTATCCCCCCTATTATTCGCTATATTTATTAATGACTTACCCCAATTATCCCACTCAGAAATAGCTTTTTTCGGCAATCACACATCCTTTTCTCAAAATTTGTTGACATTTACCAAGAAATTGAAAGATTCATGGAAGATACTATTTTTTTACAGATTGATTAGAAAAATTGAAACTAAAAATCAACCCATCTATATCCTGTCTAAAAGTATTTTCACTCAGAAAAATACCTAATCTTCCTTCATTAAATGTTAAAGGTCAAAAAATCCCGTGGGTTGATCCATAATCACCCATCACGTCTCCATCGTTACGCGTCTCCATCGGCATAAAATTAAATTGGAAATCATTAATGAACAAAATTCAGCTCACCTTTCAAAATTATATCTATTATAAAAACAATAAATCTGCATTACAAATAAAAACATCATTCTATCAATCAATTATAAGAAGTATGCTGTACGCCTCCCCCATATGGGGCGGTGCTGCCAAATCGACTGCAGACCATTGAAAGTAAAACTCTCCGGAGTGTCTTAAAAGACACTTCGTATATCTACAACGGTCAAAGCAACAACGAATTAAAAGTTCCCTACCTACAATATTTCATTAAAATACAATGGCCTTCGTGGTCGCTAATGACCTAGATGTTGATGCGACCGTAAATAACAAAAAAAGAAAAATAGCCTTAGCATTTTACAACAAAATACCTAGTTTACCATTATCCACACACTTTCATTTAGGAACTACCTCCAACCCAACGATAATCATATCCAAATTCCCTAAAGACAAATTTCGGCCTCCTTAATGTAACTAATAGAAAAATAAGTAAATAAAAAAGAACTGTAGGCAAACAATTGAACATAATCACCGAATTACAACTTTCTTTCAACAACTATCACGTGATCTAGGAGCTGCCTCATGAGATTTCCTCCTATAGAAAGGAAATATTTTTTTATAATATTTCCATGTATAGATAAGTGTAACGAAACTTGTAAAGCACCTCGGTACTGAACTTGGAATAAAGATATTCAATTAATTTAAAAAAGGAAGGTATAACTTCCTAGATAAATTTAGAATATAACCCCCCCCCAATTTTGCTATAAAACTTTTTTTATACTAGAAATAGAAAATGTATGGTTATTAGGTCACCTGCGGAAACATCTCATTTTGTGACTATAATGTAGATTCAACATACACACAACCTCCAAATCCGAAAAATAAACTACTTTATTTCATTCCTGACTCACTTGAAGTCACACAAATTAATCATAAATTTACTGTATTGATATACATAGAGTATTATATACATTATAGTATATATATACATATACATATATATATATATATATATACATATACATATACATATATATACATATACATATACATATATATACATATATATATACATATACATATATATATATACATATACATATACATATATATATACATATACATATATATATATACATATACATATACATATATATATATATACATATACATATACATATATACATATACACATATACATATACATATATACATATACATATACATATATACATATACATATATATATATGTATACATATATTGTATACATATAGTATTTCCTGTTATTTTCATTATTTTTGTATATTAGAGTCGAATACGTATGAAGTGGTTCCGGTGAAAACGACGGGAAATGTCCATCGTGAACATATTTGGCGTATAGGACAAAATCGAGAAAATGATGGGACCCGTCAACCAATATCCCGCCATTGGATGCCGGCGAAAGTAGGATGGCCTTCGGAAGTCTGGTCGGATTAAATTCCCGAGATGCAAACATTCTCTAATGTCTTATAATTTTACTCAATTCATTCAAAACCATTATCACATATTGATAACACCATTCAAAGTTGGAAGCGCGAGTTGCGGTTATTGCAAACAACGATGACATCAAATATTGCAAAACCGGACATGCTAATAAGATAATTTTTACAGTATCGTGTGTGCACGTTTATCGAGGTCATTAGCATCAAAACCTGATGCAGAAAGATTATATCTAACGTTTAGTACCTGTATCATCATCATCATCATCCTCTTGATGTGACATCTAAATTACTAAAGGGTGGCGACCCCTTTACCAAATTTTACGCATCTTGGGCCAAATCAAACAGCTCCAATGCTTTAACGATATAAGTTCATTTACAGATGTAAACAAACTGGGACAAAGACATTTCCCGTCTCCCTTGACTTTTATCTCATCATGATAAACTAATACGTAGTTCATTCCATTGGACTGCTGCTGAACAAAACCACACATGTCTCAGAAGAACAAGTAAAATCTACTCAGAAATTATGCAATAAATTAAATATTTTAACAAAATCAATCTTGACGAATACAGCAGTAACATAGTCTTGATCAATAACGCAAAATAAAAAAAAAGTTCTTTGTCGGGCAGTGTATTCATTAGAACGTGTCCTTTGTCAAGAGCTATGTCGTAGGCAGTGACACACGAGTACGAGAATTCAGTCAGTAGGCCTTATTTGGAAAATTGTTGATAAACACAAACCCTTTCGTTTTTAGCCAAAATGGATACTATTTCATCGTTTTATGATGTTTTCTAAGTTCCTGGGCTCCATTTTCGCATGAACAGAGGTTCTTATATTTTATGTCAATTTATCAGTAGGTATATCTGAAAATGGTATTACAATATTTTTATATCGATCGATCTAAACGAGCTCGAAGCCCTAAGAGTATGAAACGGATATTTTGGATGTGGGGTGTAATTTACACAAAGCCTTAAAATTTTCAAAATTTTATCAAAAATATTTCCAAATATTTGGATTTAATTTATTCCTCGGAGTTTATAAAGAAAACTTAAAAGAATGCTGATGTCAATTTCGTTGAATTTTTTGTGTTTTCGAAAATTGCTCAAGCTAAAACT